TGAGCCGAGATCGCGCCATTGCACTCCAGCATGGGTAACATGAGTGACACTCCGTCTCAAAAAAAAAAAAAAAGAATTCCAAGAATAAAAATTAAACGTTAAAAAAAAATTTAGAAGAAAGAAAAAATTAGTGTTTCTTTAAAAAATAAATAAATAAAAATTAAAAAAAATAAAAAATAAAAAAAAAGTGCTGGGCACAGTGCCCAGTGTGAGCTATGCCTCCCAGAAAGCAATGTTTCAACCATACGATGCAACCTACCTAAAGGTTGAGAAGTCAAGGTCAAGGCAGCCCAGCCCCCTTGCTGCTGCTGACCCTGCAGACAGGCCAGGGCCTGGCAGACACTTGTAGAGCAGTGGCAGTGCCCACCTCGTGCCCATGTCTTGCACACCATGCTGAGACGGTCAGAAGGTCCCACTCCCTGCAGGGAGAGCCGGTGCAGCGGGCATCCCAGGCAGAATCGAACGGGGTCAAACCAGCTGCTCCCCAAACCAGGGACCAATTTGGGCTGGTCAGTAACCCCCAGAACCTCCACTTCCCACCCCAACAGAGTCACAGGCCCATGCCCAGGACACTCCCACGACATCAGCCAGACTGTGCACAGCCATAGCTCCCTGCAGACTATGACACATTCTCACACCCACCAGTTCTCTCTCTCTCTCTCTCTCTCTCTCTCTCTCTCTTTTTTTTAAGACGGAGCCTCACTGTCGCCAGGCTGGAGTGCAGTGGCACGATCTCATCTCGGCTCACTGAAACCTCTGCCTCTCGGGTTCAAATAATTCTCCTGCCTCATCCTCCCAAGTAGCTGGGACTACAGGTGTGCACCACTGTGCCCACCTAATTTTTTTTTTTGTATTTTTAGTACAGAAGGGGTTTCACCATGTTGGCCAGGATAGTCTCCATCTCTTGACCTCGTGATCCACCCGCCTCAGCCTCCCAAAGCGCTGGGATTACAGGCGTGAGCCACTGTGCCTGGTCCCCTCTTGCCCCCTCCAATCCCATCTCCACCAAGCAGCAGATGTGATTTCCTTGGCCCATGAATCTGTCACGCGGCTTCCACAGCTCCCTCAGCTCTTAGAGCAAAGCCCCGGCTCCATCCCAGGTCCCTGGCCCCGTGGGGTCACCCAGGTCAGCCTCTGGGGTGTGATCTTTCCCTGGCTTCCCCCACTGCCCACTCAGCCAGCCTCCCTGCTCTGTCGAGTTTCTGGGTTTTTGCTTTTTTTTTTTTTTGAGACGGAGTCTCACTCTGTCACCCAGGGGGAAGGCAGTGGCGAGATCTTGGCTCACTGTGACTGTCTCCTGGGTTCAAGTGATTGTCCTGACTCAGCCTGCTGCGTAGCTGGGACTACAGGCGTGCGCCAGCATGCCCAGGTAATTTTTGTATTTTTAGTAGAGACAGGGTTTTACCCTATTGGTGAGGCTGGTCTCGAATTCCTGACTTCAGGTGATCCAACCGCCTTGGCCTCCCAAAGTGCTGGGATTACAGGTGTGAGCCACCGCACCCAGCCTTTGCTCACAGTTTCTCGTCTCTCAGGCCACGGGTCTCTGCCTGGCACAGTGCTCCAGCCCCACATCAATAGGGCCAATGCCAGGCCATTGCCTGAGTTCTGCCCTCACCCCATTCCTCAGGGCAGCCTCCCCATCAGGCCAGCCCCTGAGAGTACCCCGGCACATGGCAGAGTCTGTAGGGAGACACCAATGTCTGCCACCACTGGCCTGTGGTCTCTCTATCCTGTAAGCTGGAGCGGCTGGAGGGCAGGAACCATATCTGGCCATGCTCACCACCAGATCATCCAGGGGAAGTTCAGGCACGGTGGCATGAGCCTGTAGTCCCAGCCTCTTGGGAGGCTGAAGCAGGAGGATCGCTTGAGTCCAAGAGTTTGAGGCTGCAGTGAGCTTTGCACTACCGCACTCCATCCTGAGTGACGGAACAAGACCCTGTCTCAAAAAAAAAAAAAAGCAGAGCCCTCACCCTCGCCAGGGCAGAGAGGGACACAGCTCAGTGAACAGTAGGCAAGCACTTGTCACTTGTCACGGCAGACAAGTTATTAAACTTCCCTGAGCCTCAGTTTCCCCATCCATAAAGTGAGGATGATAAAATCACATCACAGCACAGGCTTGAGGATTCAACGGGGCCATGGGTGTAAATACTTCCTCTCGTTCCCCTGCCCGCAACCCCAAAGCTCTTCCCAGAAAGCTCCAGGAGAAACCTTCGCCAGGTCCCCAGAGCAGAGAGGGAGGACTCCAGGCAGCAAAATCCTTTTGCGGGTCCCTGCTCTGGGTCCCCAGACCCCCCGCCCTTCTCTGCTCGGCCTTGGAGCTCCGAGCCTGTGCTCCTCATTTCGGGTTGGAATAACCTCCCACCTTCCCCAGGAAGCCTTGTAGACTGGACACAGGGACCCCTGTCCCCTCAACAGCTCCTCACACCCCAGGCCCAGAAGGTCCCATCAGGGCCTTCCCTGTACCCTGTGAGTCACTTCCCAAGGACAGCACAACACAGCCCTGTCCCATCCATCTGACCACCACCAGCCCAGGTCGCCGCTGTATTCAGACTCCAGAAGACTGGGGGGTTACCGTCCCCTTTCCAACCTGGCCCCAAAAGCGGGGACTAGTGGAGAAGAGGGGCCTGGGCGGGAAGCTTTCGGCTTCAGTGACCCACTACGCTCAACCTCAACAACTCTGATCACTCGGGTTGCAGCTGATAAGGCATCTGCACCTGGCCCTGGGCAAGGGGCCATCATCATTATTATTAATTATTATTATTATTATTATTTGAGACAGAGTCTCCCTCTGTCATCCAGGCTGGAGTGCAGTGGCGTGATCTCAGCTCACTGCAACTTCCGCCTCCTGGGTTCAAGTGATTCTCCTGGCTTAGCTTCCCAAGCAGCTGGGACTATAGACACAAGCCATCATGGCTGGCTAATTTTTGTATTTTTAGTACAGAAAGGGTTTCACCATCTTGGCCAGGCTGGTCTCAAACTCTTGACCTCAGGTGATCTGCCCGCCTTGGCCTCCGAAAGTGCTGAGATTACAAGTGTGAGCCACCTCGCCCAGTTTTATTATTATTATTGAAATAGGGTCTAGCTCTGTCACCCAGGCTGGAGTGCAGTGGCACAATCTCGGCTCACTGCAATCTCCGCCTCCCAGGCTCAAGCCGTCCTCCCACCTCAGCCTCCTGAGTAGCTGCGATTACAGGCACGTACCACCACGCCCAGTCATTTTTTTTTTTTTTTGTATTTTTTGTAGAGATGGGGTCTCACTATGTTGTCCAAGTTGTTCATGAATTCCTTGGCTCAAGCGATTCCTCCACCTCAGCCTCCCAAAGTGCTGGGATTACAAGCATGAACCACTGTGCACGGCCAGGACCAGGGGTGCTGGGAACTCCAGTTCCCAGACTTTTCCAGTACATGCCTGGCACATGCATGTGAATGGGCTGGATCAATAGGTAATATCAATAACAGCCAAAATGTATGGGGTACTTAGTATTAGGCACCGTGTGAACAAATGATATATTTTAACGCATTTCCAACTATGAGTGAGGTATGATTAAAATTCCCATTTTGGGGCAGGCCAGACATGGTGGCTCACACCTGTAATCCCAGCACTTTGGGAGGCCGAGGTGGGCAGATCACCAGGTCAAGAGATCGAGACCAGTCTGGACAACATGGTGAAACATGTTAGCTGGGCATGGTGGTTTGCACCTGTAGTCCCAGCTACTCCGGAGGGAGGCTGAGGCAGGAGGATTGCTTGAACCTGGGAGGCGCCTTGGTGACAAAGTGAGACTCCATCTCAAAAAAAAAAAAAAATCCCATTTCAGTCAGGCACAGTGGCTTACACCTGTAATCCCTGCACTTTGGGAGGCCGAGGCAGGCAGATCACCTAAGGTCAGGAGTTCGAGATCAGCCTGGTCAACATGGTGAAACCCCATCTCTCCCAAAAATACAAAAAGTAGCCAGGCGTGATGGCGGGTGCCTGTAATCCCAGCTACTCCGGAGGCTGAGGCTGGAGAATTGCTTGAACCCAGGAGGTGGAGGTTGCAGTGAGTCAAAATTGTGCCACTGCACTCCAGCCTGGGCGACAAGAGCAAAATCCCATCTCAAAAAAAAAAAAAAAAAAAAATCTCATTTTACCTATACAAAGAGCGAGGCCCAGAAAGTTTAAGACACTTGCCCAGGGTCACACAGCAACAGTCTCCAGGGCCCACACTGCCTGTCTCTCTTGTCACTCTGTATGGTCCTGATAAGGAACACGAGTCCCAGGCTGGACCCTGTCTGAGCCCGCTTCGAGTCCTATCCCTGCCCAGCCCCGGATGTCCAGCTTGGCCATGTGGGGTGGGGCAGTGGAGGGAAGGGAGGCTGGGCCCAGAGCCCATAGTGCCCGCACTCACCAGCACACGGTCCCCCAGGCGCAGGTCCTTGTCACCCCGCTTCACAGAGCCGCTGTCCGAGAGGTTGGAGCCCGACTCGTTGCCCGTCTTCACGGAGCTGTTGAGGACACTCTCCCGCAGGGGGATGACGCGGCTGGTCAGCGGGGGTGTGGCTGTGCCCGAATGCAGTGACAGGTTCTGGGCAGTCAGCGACTCCACGGAGTGGGCATCGCTACCCGAGCCCTCGGCCGTGGGCTGCCGGGTCAGCTTGGAGGGCCGTGTGAAGATGCCCTGGAGAGCCGGGCACTCGAAGTAGCGCACGCCACCCACCGCGCCGTCATTCTTGCCCACCGGGTCATCCAGCACCACGCCAGCCCACTGGCCCGGCGCAAACTGCGTCTCGCCCAGGTACTGCACCACGCCTGGCTTCACGCCGTTCACCCATACCCGCTCGCCCACCACAAAGTCCCCCAGGAAGTCATCGCCCACTTCGGCCGCCTTGGGGCCTGGCTTCTCGGGGGCGGCAGCTACGGCCGCGGAGGGTCCCGATGACTGCTTGTGTAGCGGGGAGCCTGCGGAGAAGGAGGAGAGGGAAAAAGGTGGCTGTTAGGGCTGGCTGGGACTGGCCCCTGGGTGGCCCCAGGAGCACAGAGTCTAGGGATGGGAGGTGGCTGATTTGTATTTTTGGTAGAGATAGGAATTCACCATGTTGGCCAGGCTGGTCTCAAACTCCTGACCTCAAGTGATCTGCCCACCTTGGCTTCCCAAAGTGCTGGGATTATAGGCATGAGCCACCACACCCAGCCCATATTTATTTACTTTTTGAGACAGGGTCTTGGTCTGTCACCCAGGCTAGAGTGCATTGGTGAGATCATGGCTCGCTGCAGCCTTCACTTCTGGGGCTCCACAATCCCCCGACCTCAGACTCCTGAGTAGCTGAAACCACAGACAGCTGCCACTACAATGGGCTGAGTTTTGTATTTTTTGTAGAGACGAGGTCTCACCATGGAAACCAAGGCAGGCATGGTGGGCTGTCTCCCCCACTATTCCAGCCCTCCAGACAGTCCCCAGGAAAGTACACCCTCAGAAGCAGTGTTTTCAGGCTGGGTGCAGTGGGTTATGCCTGTAATCCCAGCATTTGGGAGGCTGAGGCAGCTGGATCACCGGAGTTCGAGACCAGCCTGACCAACATGGTGAAATCCCGTCTCTACTAAAAATAAAATAATTAGCCAGGTGCGGTGGCACGCGCCTATAATCCCAGCTACGTAGGAGGCTAAGGTGGGAGGATCACTTGAACCCAGGAGGTGGAGGCTGCAGTGAGTTGAAATCATACCACTACACTCCAGCCTGGAGGAAAAAGAAAGACTTCATCTCAAAAAAAAAAAAAAAAAAAAAAAAAAGCAGCAGCAGCAACGGCTTCCCACTGCTCAAGGAAACTCCAAGTCCCCGGCCAGGGATGAAGCCGTTCTCAAGCATTACGAGCCACTTCCCCACTGGGTGGGCTCAGGTCCTCAGCTGTTGACCCGAGATCCCCCCCACCGTGGCCCCCATATGGGGCCCAGGTGTTGTGCAAGTGGTCAGTGAGACCCCCATCCTCGTCCTCGGACAGTGACAGGGCCCACAAATGGCTCCCAGCCTGTTTCCTAATAGAGGGACACAGCCACAGACTTCCTGCATAAAGACATCCCCTTCTGTCTTTCTTGGGAAAGGAAAGAAAACCCTAGTTCTCTCCTGGGCCTTCCCATCTGTTCCCTCCCCAAGCTGCAGCCAGCCTAAGGCCTCAGGGTCCACAGACCCAGGAAAGTGGAAGGGTGGCTAGGGTCACAACCAGTGTGGGCAGCATAGCAAGACCTCATCTCTCCAAAGAATAAAAAATATATAGAAAGAAATAAAATAATTAAAACAGCAGCTGCATTTATGTAGTGCTAACTGCATGCTCCTCAATGGATGGGGCACTTTTTTTTCTTTTTTTTTGGAAACAGTCTCGCTCTGTCACCCAGGCTGCAGTACAATGGCACGATCTTGGCTCACTCCAACCTCTGCCTCCCAAGTTCCAGTGATTCTCCTGCCCCAGCCTCCTGAGTAGCTGGGATTACACGCATGTGCCACCACACCAGTCTATTCATTGTAAGCATACATTATATTCTTATCTTGCAGATTTGGAAACAGGATAAGAGACCTGCTCAGGTCACCCAGGCCGAGTAGGGCCCAGCTGATCTGGCTTTGGAATCCTCCTTTTTTTTTTTTTTTTTTTTTTTGAGACAGTCTCACTCTGTTGCCCAGGCTGAAGTTCCCAGGCTGGAGTGCAATGGCACGATCTCTGCTCATTGCAACCTTTGCCTTCCGGGTTCAAGCCATTCTCATGCCTCAGCTTCCTGAGTAGCTGGGATTATAGGCACGCGCCACCATGCCAGGCCATTTTTTTCTTTTTAATTTTAGTAGAGATGGGGTTTTGCCATGCTGGCCAGACTGCTCTCAAACTCCTGGCCTCAAGCGATCCTCCAGCCTTGGCCTCCCAAAGTGCTGAGATTATAGGTGTGAGCCACTGCGCCTGGTCAGAACGCTCCCTCTTGACCTCGCACAGGGGGTGCCTGGCAGGTGCCAGCTCCTACCCCATATCCATTTCTTTTTTTTTGAGATGGAGTTTCACTCTTATCGCCCAGGCTGGAGTGCAATGGTGTGTTCTCAGCTCAGTGCAACCTCCGCCTCCAGGGTTCAAGCGATTCTCCTGTCTCAGCCTCCTGAGTAGCTGGGATTACAGGCACGTGCCTCCATATTCAGTTAATTTTTGTATTTTTAGTAGAGACAGGGTTTTCACCATGTTGGCCAGGGTGGTCTCGATCCCTTGACCTCATTATCCACCCCGCTCTGTCTCCCAAAGTGCTGGGATTACAGGCGTGAGCCACCGCATCTAGCCCCCTATATCCATTTCTAGGGCCCTTTCCTGTGCAGAGAGAGCTCTGTGACCTCTGGTAACTGAACAGAACCATGGTAGTTCAGGTAAGGCCTGTTTCTACCTGCCCCCTGTGCAGGGAGCCCAGAGAAGGGTCCCCAGGTTGAAGGTAACCCAGCATGGCTATTCCTGGTGAGACGCTGCCTGCTCAGCTGTCCTGTCCCCAGCTGTCCCGGCCCAGCGGACCCTCAGGTCATCTCTCCCTGACTCTCGCCCCTCCCAGGAGTCACAGGCCCAGGGACCAGTTGTTTCAACAGCTGCAAAAATCCAAGCCACGAGCCCATGGCAACTGCACATGGGTACTTCGCTTCATTCTTCCTCTTAGTAGGGGGACCCTCAGCTGTCCCCGCATCACACAGACAAAACCCTCTTCAGATTCCCTGCATGCTGAGGCGTTTTCAGCTTCCCGCAGTTGGGAAACCATGGGAAATTCCCCCTCCCTCCAGGGAGTCAGCAGAGACACACTGGCTTGGCCAGGGCCAGCCAAGTGGATGGTTTTCCGTATCAGTGGCTCAGTTTCCTCATAACGTAACGAAGGACGAGGTCAGAAATAGGAAGGGTCGGCCAGGCGCAGTGGCTCACGCCTGTAATTCCAGCACTTTGAGAGGCCAAGGCAGGTGGATCACCTGAGGTCAGGAGTTCACGACCAGCCTGACCAACATGGAGAAACTGTGTCTTTAACAACAACAACAACAAAATAGCTGGGCATACTGGCGGGCACCTGTAATCCCAGCTACTCGGGAGAGGCGGGAGAATTGCTTGAACCTGGAAGGTGGAGGTCGCAGTGAGCTGAGATGGCGTCATTACATTCCAGCCTGGGTAACAAGAGCGAAACACCGTCTCAGGAAAAAAAAAAATACACATACAAAACAAAAAACAAACAAAAAAATTAAAATAAACCTCCTACATGTGGTTGATCCATTCCCTAGACAGTGATTCCCCTTCAGACAAGAGGCACAGGGGAATTTACTCCAAGTTTCAAGTTCAAAGCATGACAAGGGCCTAAGGACACCAGGGAAGGGGGCCACAGCTGGCAGTGTGGTCCTGCAGTGGGTGGGGATAATGAGGGCGCCCAGATGACGCATTCTTCCCTCCGCCTTGGAGGATGCAAGTCCTGCCCTGCCTGAGGAAGAGGGGACTGGCCTTTTCCATTGCTGCCCAATCTCACCAGCAGGGACCCCATTTCCTGAGACCTACTAGGTCAGACCCTGTGTCAGACACTGTGGACAACAGGCACGGCCAAACGAGGCCCGGCAAGGGGATAGAGTGTGGATGCCAGCAGCTTCAATTCGGCTCACTGGGTCACCTATGTAAGTGAGGAAGGGACCCAAAGTGTGGGACCCAGGGGAGGGGGAGAGGGGCTCCTCCTTGAATGGAGGTGTGGGTATTTCCCATGACCTCTTGTCTCAGAAAGACAGAGCTGGCTCCCCCATCTCCTCAGAGAAGCCTTTCATGACTGCTTTATCTAAAACTCATCACCCCGGCCAGGCACGGTGACTCACGCCTGTAATCCCAGCACTTTGGGAGGCCAAGGCAGGCAGATCTTGGGGTCAGGAGATCGAGACCATCCTGGCTAACATGGTGAAATCCCGTCTCTACTAAAAATACAAGAAATTAGCTGGGTGTGGTGTCAGGCACCTGTAATCTCAGCTACTCGAGAGGCTGAGGTAGGAGAATTGCTTGAACTGGAAAGGCAGAGGCTGCAGAGAGCTGAGATCCTGCCACTGCACTCCAGCCTGGGCAAGACAGTCTCAAAAAAAAAAAGAAAGAAAAGAAAAAGGAACAAACAAATTGACCCCATTTGCTCCACTCAGTCAAGATCGAGACCTGCCTCCTCGAGGACCTCACAGCCAACATCCTCAACCCACAGGGGCTCCTTCCTCAGCCCTGGGCAAAGCTCCCCACCACCCTCCCCAGCTCAGGAGGCCCCGCACCCACCCATGCGCTCAGGCTGCAAACTCCATCGCTCTACCGGCTCACCCTTCCCCCAGTCTAGCAATTCCACAGAAGAAATCACTCCTAATTCATTTATGCCTCCTTCTCAGGGCTCAGAGGCTCACCTAACTTTTTTTTTTTTTTTTTTTAGATGGAGTCTCGCTCTGTCACTCAGGCTGGAGTGCGGTGACACGATCTCGGCTCACTGCAACCTCCGCCTTCTGGGTTCAAATGATTCTCCTGCCTCAGCCTCCTGAGTAGCTGGAATTACAGGGGCCCACTACCACACCCAACTAATTTTTTGTATTTTTGGTAGAGACAGGGTTTCGCCATTTTGACCAGGCTCAGCTCGAACTCCTGACTTCGGGTGATCCACCCACCTCAGCCTCCCAAAGTGCTGGGATTACAGGTGTAAACTCAGCCAGAAATAAAATATTTTCAAAAGAAAAAATAAAATAAGGGAATGCACTCTTTGGCCTATTTCCAAAGGAAATAATTCAGAAAGGAAAAAAACTATCTTGACCTTCACACACACACACACAAACCTGAATCTCAGTCCCTGCAAACTGAGGAGCAGTGACATAAATTACGTGCACATCATTCAGATTATTAGGCAACCTTTAAAACATTATTTGTCCAGGTTCTGTGGGACAGGGTTTATGACGTGATTCTTGGGGACACAGC